TTCTAAGTCCAACATTTCAAGTCTGGTGGCATAAGGTATTTTGTTGCGGGTGGAGGAGCGGAGGATTTTTCTTGTGAAATATTTCTGGACGCGCTCAATTGTATTAATGTCCGATATGCAGTGTGGGTTCCAGACAGATGGGCTGTATTCGAGAATTGGTCTAGCAAATGTTTTGTATGCTCTGGTTAATAGTGTAATATTACTGGAGAAGAAGCTACGCAAGATTAGGTTAACAACTCTTAATGCCCTTTTGGCGATGTTGTTATAGTGGGCTTTGGCACTTAGATCATTTGATATGAGTACTCCAAGGTCCTTGATAGAGTGAGGGTCATCAACTACAAGGTCGTGTCCACTCAGCTTGTACCTTGTGTTCTAATTCCTTTTGCCAATGTGTAAGACAGAGCATTTGTTGGTTGAGATTTGGAATTGCCAATTTTTTGACCATTCTGACACATAGTCAAGAACTTTTTGAAGGGTAACAGCATTGTTGGCGGTGTTAAATAGTTTTACGTGCATACATCATGCCCTTCAAACATGAAGCAACATTGACTCTGCTTGCCAAGGAGCATAGTTGGGTATGGAATGTTGCAAGTAGCCCAGACAGTTGAAGAAGAAAAAAGAACATTGGAAGAATATCCGAAGGACAGTGAAGAAGATGCACTGAAGCTTGTACACCATGAAGGCTGACTGAATATCAAAGAGACCAAACTTGCCTAGAAGAATGACCAAATGAAAAATAGAAAAGAGACATGGCAAGGCAAAGTATTATATGGCCATTAAAAAAAAAAAAACACCCTAGCAGGAAAAGCAGATAACAAAAACCTGGTGATGACTAAGAGGAGGAAGGTTGAAGAAAAAGACCACAGTGCTAATTCTGGTTGCACAAGACCAAGCCTTAAGAACAAACGCAAACAACGCCAGAATTGAGAAAACAGCAACAGATAGCAAGTGCTGCCTCTTCAAAGAAGCTGAAGAAACTGTGGTTCATCTGGTGAGCTGCTGCAAGAACATTACACAGACTGACCACAAACAACGGCGTGACAAAGTAGCAACAATATCGGAATATCTGCAAGAAATACCATTTGCCCGCAAGCGAGAACTGTTGGGCTACAAAACGGACGATGTTTTAGAAAATGAAGAAGTTACAAGTGATCTGGGACTCTAGAATTCAAACAGGCAAGCAGTTGCCACATAACACCCCAGACTTAAACAATCGTTGATAAGAAAGACACACACATACACAAAATCTGCACAGTGAACATTGTAACACCTGAAGACAGCAAAACAGAAGAGAAAGAACTGGAGAAAAATCACAAAATGCAAAGACTCACAAATAATAATAATAATAAAAAAATAGAATAACTGTGGCAAAAGAAAGCAAAGATATTATCTGTAGCAACAGGCGCCTTGGCTCAATCCCCAAACTTCCGGAGCACCAGCTGAACATGATCGGCATTGATAAAATCATTATCAGTCAATTGCAAAAGGTTTTCACTTGCAATAGCTTACATCCTGTAATGATATCTTTAACACTATCAAACAACATCTGCCTACCCCAGGTTCTGGGGAAGGACTGAACAGCTGGATCGTGCCAAATCCAGTCTAAACATCTGGCTGACAGTGCAACCAACCATAATAATAACCAAACACCAAGGCTTTTTCTGTTTCATTTTTCCTTGGTTTTATTTTATATCTATTGTGACTGTCAAGTAGTTGGCAGATATATTGCAAGTTTCCTAGGCCAGATCCATGCACTGCAGTATTATTAGTCTCACAGGGCTTCTGGCAGGCTTTCCCCCCTCTTTTCTTTCTTAGCCTTACTTGGAAGTGACAAGAATCAAATGTGGAAGATTCTACATGAAAAAAATATTGACTGGCGAGCAACAATAAGCATCATTTGGTTAGTTTCATGGATGAACTGGATTTGGTAACCATAGTTTTCGTGCCCGTTTCGAATGAACCATTCAATTATTCAGTTCAGAGATGCAATTCTAAGGTAATTTAATTGAGCCTCCCAATCAGATTTATGAATGGTATTGGCAAGGCAAATTGATTTGCCTCCAAATGGATTCAGATCATGTCTGCATCTGTCATAATTTTTTTTTAATTGATCTGGAAGCTCAAATCAATTCAACCATTTGATTTGGCTATCTGACCCCAAGTAGGATCGGTTTCCTGAATTGAAATGGAAGCTTCTGTCAAATCCCAGGTCTGATCTAAATGGGATTTCTCCAGATTCACATACTCCCACCATGCCAACCTGGGCAATAGTAATCTGTTAATCAGTCTATGTGGACAAACAACCATAGTTTAATTATATGTGTGAACTCAGCATCTTTATTTAAGGATGGTTATGTTCTGAAAGTTGGACCATAAGGAAGGCTGAGCGCCAAAGCATTGAGGCCTTTGAACTCTGGGGCTGGAGAAGACTCCTGCGAGTCCCTTGGACTGCAAGGCGATCCAACTGGTCAGTCCTAGAGGAGATCAACCCTGACTGCTCTTTAGAAGGCCAGATCCTGAAGATGAAACTCAAATACTTTGGCCACCTAATGAGAAGGAAGGACTCCCTGGAGAAGAGCCTAATGCTGGGAATGACTGAGGGCAAAAGAAGAAGTGGACGGCAGAAAACGAGGTGGCTGGATGGAGTCACGGAAGCAGTCGGCTTGAGCTTAAATGGACTCCAGAGGATGATAGAGGCAGGAAGGCCTGGAGGAACATTGTCCATGGGGTTGCGATGGGTTGGACACGACTTCATGACTAACAACAACAAATGTTCTGAAAGAGCACTGGTAGAAGAATCGTAATGTATGGATTTCCTTGCAAAGCAGGACTTAATTTTATAGAACTATTTTTTTTTTCTGATGTAAAAATGAAATAGGCCACTGGTTATAATTTAGGAGCAGGGTTGTAGAAACCTTATTAAAAAACCCAGGGTTTTTAGCTCTACTTCCCTGTGCAGTCCAATCTCCTCACCCCCCATCTCTTACATTTCCCCTCTGGGGATGTAGCAATTCTTTCCCAGATTTCTGAAATCTTTTAAGAAAGGGAGGATACACCTGTAAAGCCCCTTGTCCTGCAGCTGAAGAGTACAAGTCTGATCGTTGGATCAGTCTTGCTGTCTGTGGGCAAAGAGCAGAAAGAAGAGACTATTAAAAGAGATGGAGGAGGAGGAAGAGGAGGAGGAGGAGAAGAGAAAAAAGCAGGACACCCAAACACACACAGAAACGATAGAGAGGCAAAGCAAATTAGATGGTGTGGATGGGTGGATGGGTGTCTGATTTGCCTGGCTTTTTGCCTGCCCCCCAAAATGCACCCCGAATCTTAATTCACACCAGCTTTTGGTTTCTCTCTCTCTCTCTCTCACACACACACACTTTCTCTCTCTCTCTCTAACTCACTCTCTCTCACACACACTTTCTCTCTCTCTCTCTCTCACTCACACACACACACTTTCTCTCTTTCACACACCCCACCCTCCTGATCTCTCTCTCCCTCTCCCTCCCTCCCTCCCCCCTCTCTCAGATCAGCCCTTTCCAGTACACACACTTACTCCCCTCTTTCCATACCCATCTGGCGTTTTTTTTTTTTTACATCCAACCTTTCCTTGTAGAAATCTGCCTATTCAAAGATACAGGGACAGATTCCCCCACCCCTTCCCCACCTCGCAAACTGGTCCCACCCGAGTTTTTTTATTTTTCGACTTCTCCCCGGCGGTAGTTTTCTCTCCCCCCACCCTCCCGCCTCCCTTCCCCCTCCCCCAATATTTCTTCCCTCGATGTTTTTCAATCGATTTTTATTTCTTCTGTTCGGAAGCCGGACGATCTTGGTTAAAAAAAATAATACCCACTGGTTGGTGATGATGGTGGGTTGTTTTTTGTTTTTTGGACAAATACACTCGCGACTTTTTGTTTTCTATTCGCCAGTTCTTCCTGGATTATGTACCAGGGGTTGTTTTTGCAGAAATTGCAGAAATTAAAATAAAAGACGAGAAAGCAAGCAAAAGAAAGGATGAGGGTGGAGGGTTACGAGGAAGGAGCGTTCTGGAGAAAGGCGTTCGATCCAGCAACAGACGAGCTCGGCTTTCTCTCGCGGGTGGCGATCCCCACGGGGATCCTTCCCCCTTCCCCTCCCCCAGGTGCACCTGGCCGATCCTTTTCTGACATTTCCTCGGAAGTAAATGTAACCAGCCTCCCCCCCCCTTTCCCACAACGAGGCGGGCTCGTTGCCACGTCAAGGAAGCCTTTTTTGGGGTTCTTGCAGTTTCTGTAAGGGGAGGAATCTCTCCGGGGGGCCCCGCCACACCAGCCCCGCGCGTCCTTAAACCCCACGCGCGTTTTCCGCGGAAGAGAAGGACGGCGCGGCCATGGTTTCGCGGATCGCTGCCTTCACTCGGGCTGAGCCCACCGAGTCCTCCCGTCGATCGGCCGTGGAGAAGCCCGAACCGAACTTCAGCAATCACAACCACGCGTGGATTCCACCCCCACCTTCCCTTCCCATCGCCGCGCGCACACACACACACACACACAGAGCTGGGAAGCTGCATCCCGGGCGCCAAAAGCCTTGCAAAAAAAAAAAAAAAAAACAACCCCAAAAAAACCACGCGCCGAGCGGAGTCACGCGTGCCAACGGCGGGGACCGGGGCTGTGATTCAATCGCCGACAGTCGCCGCCGCCTCGTCGGTTGTGTGCCGCTTCACTTCTGCAGCACCGCTGGGCGTGGGAAGCCAAGGAAGGGCGAACAGGGCCGTCTTCGTGACTCGCTCTCGCTCGCTCTCTCTCTTCCCACTGCCCGGTGATATATATGATATATATATATATATAAATATATATATATATATATATTTCCCCTGCAGGTGTTTCAGTTTTCATTTTGCCCAGTAGGTGGGACTTGGGGACTTGGAGCATCAGTATAGGAGCCCCCTCCTCGCCCGCCCTCGCTTCCTCCTCCTCCTCCTCTTCCTCCTCCTCCTCCTCCTCCTCCTCCGTGTCGCTGCGAATCTTCTGTTGCAATCTTCACAAGTCTCGGGAAGAGCAGCCAGCGAGCCAGAGAGCGAGCCCTACTACGGTGGATCAACAAGGCACCGGGACACGCGCGCAACATCGTCCCCCCCTCCCTCCCCTCTCGCCATCCCGCCACCCCACATACACACACACACACACACACACCGCACACACACACGCGCGCGCATCTCTCTCCACCAGCCGCTATGCCTCGCGCGCCGCTCTCGTAAGAGGGAATTTACAGCCTCTCCGCCTTTGGCCAACATGGTTTCAACGTCGCGAGGATTTTTTCTTGCTCCGATCGCTTGAGGGTGGTTTGGTCTTTTTTTTTTTATTTTTTTTCTTCCCTCCCCCCTCCCCGTTTTTTGCTTTTTATTTGGGGGTTGAGGTTTCCTTCCCCCCCTTCTCTTTCTTTCCTCCCCCCTTCCCTTAAAACCTTCTCTTTCCCCTCTCCTTCTACGCTGCTTCCTCCCTCCCTCCTTCCCTCCCCCTTTTTCTTCTTCTTCTTCTTTCCCTTGGCAATCTTTCCTCCTCTCCCTCTCTTTCTCTCTCTCTCTCTCTCTCTCTCTTTCCTTCTTCTTTTTTTTTTCAATAAAGCCACCCCAGTCGAAGATGGATGTCTCGTTTTGTCCGACCAAATGTAGTTTTTGGAAGGTTTTCTGGCTCTGGAGCATATGGGGTGACTACTTGGTTTCCGTTTTGGGTTGCCCTGCCAACTGCCTTTGCAACAAAACCGAGATCAATTGCAAAAAACCAGATGATGGCAACCTCTTCCCTCTGCTGGAGGGGCAAGATTCGGGATCCACCAATGGAAATGCCAGCATCAACATTACGGATATCTCTAGGAATATCACTTCGATGTAAGTCCCTTTTCTTCGCCCTCTCTCTCTCTCTCTCCCTTCCTCACTCCCCCCCTCTCCCCCGTGTGTTCAAATACGAATGTGTGGTGACTGTAAAGGAGAATGCAGGGGTGGGGTGGAGTGGAGTGGGGGGGGGGAGAAAGAAGAAGAGAAGCGAAGGTTTGGCTTGTGCTTTCTGGTGAAGGTATCCGATGATGCCCTCTCGGGCCACCGACTTGCCTGCTGCCGAAGGGAGATTAGGATGGGACCGAACTGCGTTTCGCTGAATGCAGATTTAGCATCCCTTTTCCCCTCCGCCCCCGCAAATTCTGGGAGCCTCCCTCTATGGAAGGAAAAAAAAAAAAAGCAACAGTTTGCAAAAAAAAAAAAAGCTAGAAAGGGCCAGTGGAGTCGGGGAAGGGGTTTGCCAAGCAAGGCAGTTGGGAGAGGGGGCAGCACTCCGTGTGTGTACACGCATTTGCGTGGCAGAGAGAGAGAGAGAGAGAGGTTGTATATCTGGCCAACCGATCTTCCAGTTACCTATAATCTCTAGTTTGCTTTAAACTGTGTGCAAAGAAGAACATGGTCTCTCTCTCTCTCTCTCTCTCCCACCCCCACGATAACAGGACTTTTTCTGATTCTTTCCCCCCCTCCTCTTCCTTTTATACTGAAGTCTCCCTGCCCTTGTTCATGTTTTTCTTAAACCACAACCCTATTAACACTGCAGATATATATGCCCAGAGAGAGAGAAAGAGAGAGAGAGGGACACACACACACAAATTCATGCCTGTGTGTGCCTAAAATGACCTTTTGGAAATAATTGTGCTACATAAAGTCATCCACATTCAAGTTGTTATACACACACACAGAGAGAGAGAGAGAGAGAGAGAGAGAGAGGCCCATGGACGCACAGAAGCTAACACACATATTTTAATGGCCAGTGTGTCTGATTCCAGAACCAGTCCTTTCTCTCCTAACCATCACCACCCCACTCTCTTTTTCTTTCCCCCCTCCCCCTTTAAGCAGTGCATATTTTGGAGTAGCTGGCCTGTGTTGGGGGCTGTGGAAAGCACAGATATTTTTAGCTGGTGTGCTTTGCTGCTTTATCTGGAAAAATCAACTCCCAAGTTCCTTCTTCTTTCTCCTGGTTAGGAAACCCCAGTGGATGAAACACCACATAAAATCCCATCAGTGAGGGGGTGGTGGTGATGGGGATAGAAGGGAAATGAACCATAATCAAACCCCCCACCTCTTTTCACAAGTTTTATCAAACCTAGATTGCAAATATGAATCACACCAAACACCTCTTGGCTTGGCTTTCTGCATTGTGCTAATACACACACAGAGAGAGGCTTGTTTATAGACAAGGAGTGGATGGACAAATCCAGACCCAAGTAGGCTTGTGGGGGTGGGGGAAATCTCCTGTGTAAGTTACCCACAGAACTCCCATAGGGATGGGGAGGGGGTGGGGGGGTTGCAGGATGAGGAATGTGTGATGGTTATTATTACTATTATTATTATTATTATTATTATTATTATTATTATTATTATTATTATTATTATTAGGCAGTGAAATGCAGGAAAAGATAGGCATCGCTAATGAGAAAGGGGAGGGTGGGTATTCTTATTAATTAAATATCCCAGTGGCACAAGACAGTTCAGAGAAGGAGTGGGGGGGAGGGGGGGACACAACAGATGGATGACTTTAGGTTGCTGTTTTTCCATCCTTGGAACAAGGGAGGTGCTTTTCAGCTCTACCAGAGCTCGGAAATAATTGCCCAAATATGTATGTGATATTTTTGTGCTTGTTTGGCAAAGAGAGACCTTCGTGGTGCACAGAAGTTGAGAAGGTGGCATTTTAAAATACTCTTTTAAGATGGGCTTTCTGTGTTTCTCCTGGGCTGGGTAGATCCTAAAGATCCTGGCCCTTGGCCTTGCAAATAACTTGTGCAAAAGTTACTAGTCCCTAGAGAGGTGGATAGCATGGGAAGAGTGTGTGTGTGTGTGTCTATGTGTGTTTATGCATTTGTGTGTGAGAGAGAGAGGGAAGAATATTTCTGTTTCCAAATATTTTCCTGCATGGTTGGTTAGAGACAATGCTAACTTGCTAGAGGTGATTGGGTGAGTGGTTGCTTTTAAATCCATCCTGCCCTTAGTAACTTTTTCGTTTTATTGCTATTTTGATTCCCACCATTCCTCCCCGCTCTCTCATTGCCCCAAGGAATCAGAGAAGCCAACTTTAGAAATAGTCCTGCATTCAGTTCCCAGACGTATTCCTATTTTTTTTTATAGCACAGGATGGTTTCTAGATAACATCAGGAAAAATAAGTGCATGGATGATTCTGGCCTTCTCATCTTTCAGAGGCATCTTTGCCAATTTTCACTTTATCCTCCCCCTCTCGTTCTCCTGTAATTCACCACCCTTTATAAACGAAGCGATGTCTTCTTAGTATTTTGTGTGTCTATATCATAATCTGAACTGCTGGGGGAGATATGATTATGTGAATCTTTTGTATCCGGGAAATAACTTGATTGCTTTGAAAACGCTGATCAAGCTGTTCGTTGAATAGGTGGAGGACCTGCTCCAAACTCCAAAATAAGCAAAGATGTTTTATATACCCCCTTCAAAAGAACACGTTTTAATTATTATTATTTCCCCCCACCCCCAGGAAAAGATTAGAGGTTGTTAGGCTAGCTGGAAAACTGACTCTGCTTGTGATCTTCACCTTGGCCTTTTGAAATAGCTAAGAAAAAAAAAAAATACGTTGGATATTTCTGTGGCTAGTATGATGCTGCAGAAATACACTTTTGCATTTGGGGAGGGGGGCTACGAAACAAAGCAGAAAAGGAGCTGACTTTTCTTGAAAGGGGATTAACCAATTCCGGGTAGAATCTATGAAGGATTCTGATAGCCACAACCTTGGGGGCTATTCCCACTAGGACAGCTAAATGGAGCTTCCATCTTCAAGGGCAGTATTCCATCAACTGTCAAATCCACCGGTGTTTTGTTACTGCTTTAAATTTTCAAGATACTTTTGTCTTATTTGCAATTGGAAGCAGGGTGCTGACGAAACGATCCTTTGCTTGAATCATCATCATCATCATCACAGGGCTCTTTTCCTAGCATGCGTGCAAGCATGGAATCGAATGGATTTCTATCCTGTTCTGTGAAGGCTGTAAAATGCTTAACAGGCCTGTTTAATAAGCAAGAGGCTACACACGAGACACCTATGTGTCAGTGAACCGTAAACAACACCTCCTCCCCCTGCTGATCATGCCACCTTCTAGTAGGCTTAGAGGAAGCTCTGATGGGGGCCAATCCCATAAACCCCACCATCCCACATTGAAGCAGATCTACCAAGTGGAATCACCTTTCACTCTCTGAGTTGGGGGTGTGTATGTGTCACCAGACCACTTTATTTGGGCTGCTTCTTTAGCCTTCAAAGCAACCTGCTGGTGTGCAGGGGGGGGGGAGCATTCGTCTCACCGATTGTACTTAATGCCAGTGGCCAAATCTACCTGGCTAATTTCTCATCGGTCTTTCCTTTGCCAAAAAGGAAAGTTCCTGTTTTTTTTTTTTCCCTCTTCTGTTCTGCCCGAGTGCTTGAAGATGCCTTTGGAGTTTCTCTTGATGAGGCTTTTGAGCTGATTTTCTTGATAGGTTGACGTATTGTGCCATCCCTCTGTAGCCTCCCTGGCTGTCCATATTCTCTGATTTTTTTTGGGGGGGGGGGAAGATTCATGAGAAAAATTCCTTCTGGATGACTTTCCTTGGGATTTCATTGAAGGATGGGAGGCCAGGTTGGCTGTAGACTGCTGGAGAGTGATTGGACAAAATAAGGCAGAACATTCTCCCTCTCCCTCTCCCTCTCCCTCTCCCTCTCCCTCTCCTCCTCCCCCTCCCCCTCCCCCTCCCCTCCCCTCCCCCTCTCCCTACATACAACAGGACCCTACATCCCGGAGTCTTTCATGGGCGAGAGAGAAGATAATTCTTTTCTCCTTTGGTAGAAATGTCCGAGAAGCCAATTCTCTTTTGCCAAACTGAATTGGTAGAACGCAGCTGATACACACACACACACACACACACACACACACACACACACACACACATAATACCTTGGCTGGTTGATAGGCAAACGATCAGAGAATGCCCTTTTCATCAGTGCTATATTGAAGCCCAGTGAGTTGATACAGTCCAGAGGACAGGCTGAAAGGGCTGGATGGTAGCCAGAGGGTGTCCTTCCTTCTCTGGGCTTTCCCTTCTGAAATGGCCTGAGAAGCTTACCTTGTCAGATAAAGATGGGGGTTACACTAGCTGGTTTATTGTGACACAACGGAGTGTCTGTTTAAGCATCACCGGGGAGGCTTTTAATTTCATTAACTGTGTCTCTTTGAAGCGATCGGTCCCCTCTGAGAGAGAAAAAAAATATATCTGAGAGTCTTGGATGTCTCCAAACAAGAAAAGGAAAAGGGGAAAAACACGATAGGATCGTTGCTCTCTAAAGCATCTATTTGGACTCCGATGCTTTAAAAAAAATATTTTGCAAGATCCTGGAGATGGAGGCTGAGCAAAGAATGGATTCCAAAATTTCATTGTGAAGACTGAGTAAACAAATAAAGGGCAATTCTTGGCTTGCATCAATCCACAGAATGATGTCCTCAAACCGTGATGGATGCTAGTTAAAGAAGACAAGGTTTCCTTAGCCCAATGGTAAACTGCAGAACTTGGGGAAACAATTCTGCCAGATAATTGCTGATCAAACATTAAACACAACATTCCCAGATAGCAGCTGGTGATGCCAAAGACTTCCCCACTTTGGAAAATAGGATTAAAAAAAAAAAAAGAAGTCAAAATCCTGCAGCCAAATGTAGTAATCTTCTAAGATGATCTCATGATATTAACTGCGAGGTTTTTTGCAATTTCAGAGAACATGGGTCGGGAAAAACAATGTAAAACACAGCATAAGGGTGCCCATTTTTTATATTTGGCCAATCTTGGCCTTGGAATATCTAGAATTGTA